CTGCATTTTGCGGCTGCTCCTACCCATGGATAGTATTCCGTATAATACTATGGTGCTTGCAACACCTCTGGTTGCGTTGGTCCTCAACCACGGAACTCATAGCGCGGAACCTTCTCACATCCACTCACAACGCGTCTTACTAACGACCTACTCATCTCTGAAGATCCACTTCCCTCCTCTCCTATGTGCATCCAACCAGCGCTCTTGCACAATCGCCTTCTCTTGTTCCTTTGCACGTTCCCGGTCTTCCTGCTGCTCCTGTGTCGTCGGAAAGTCCACTCGCCAGAACCCTGGCGGTGTCCTTCGTCGCTCGTAGGCTTCGCGATGCTTCCCTGACTCTTTCGCCATCTTCTTCGTCCGAGCTTGCAAAACAAGCTCTTGCCGCTCTTCGGATGACATCTGCGTGAGCTGCATGTTGCTGTATGCATCGCCCAGATAATCCTCAAGCAGAGCCTCCTCTTCCGAGGGGCTGAGAGGTCCTTGGGCCTCCGCGAAAGCTCGAAAAGTGGAGCCACAACATTGCGGGTTGGTGCAGCCTGGAAGACACATGCGATCTCCCCGCTTGCGCACAGTCTCCGAGAATGCGTAGCTGAAGCCTTGGTTGTATTCAGGGTTTGGCTTGAAGTCCTTGACGCTAAGCTCGCCGACCGGCTTATCTCGGAGGCGAACCTGATCTTTCAACGGAGATGCACGACTTTTGCGAGCACTAGAGCGGGTCTCGGGAGCCCTCATGGTCCATATAGGGCCGTCAGGCGTCGGATCGTCGCGAGGGCTCGCGCGAGCCTTTGACTTTGAGCTGCGCGCACCCTTACTGACGGAACGTGTCTCGGTAGTGCGCGAGGAGCTTGCGGGAGGGGTTGGGTTTTGCTCGGTTTTTATCTTTACCGATCCTGACTTTGGGGTCTTCGGTGATGCCTTTCCTGGCGTCTGAGGACTCTTCAATGCTTGTAATCTTTGGTTCATCTGCGCTCGAGCAATCTGGGGCGGCAGCCTTGGCTTACGATTAGTCGCAGGTAGTGCTTCGCCCGACTCTGCGAGGAAAGAATGCTTGTCTTGTTGATACGCTTGGGCTTGCCGTGAACGCTTCGTGGGAGGCTCCTCAGACGCACTGTTCACCACGTTGGGGTCAAGGGGTCTTAACACAGCGTCTCCTGCTTGCGTGGGTTCATTCGGCTCACTAAACGCTCGTGCTTCGATACTCGCCATGGCTTCAGGCTCGCGCATCTGATCGTAGAGATCATGCAGATCAGTGTCATCCAGGTTCTCGTTCTTAACGGCCTGCGTAAGTGGCGCGCTGTTACGCCTCTGCTGACGAGGCGTTTGCACAGGATCTGTGTCATGAAATATACGTGTCCGGGGTTGACGAGGAGTCTTGATCCCATGGGGCGCAGGATCGTCCAGATCCATCGTCTCGTTCCGAGTCATGTTGAAGGCAGGGAGCGGAGGACTGCTGTGAGGCTCTTCTTTCACGCGATGGGGCTTTATAGGCGTACCATCTGAAGAATGATCTGCGTATATTTCGAATCTGGATTTTGACGGCTGGCCTCGTTTGCGTTTTAGTGACCTCTCGGAAACGAATTCGGGGAAATCTTCGTCATCTTCAGCTTCCATAGCTTGTTCAAATATGCTCCTCGGCTCGACCTGCTCATCCACTGTTGTTTGACTGGAGCTTGGAATCGCTGAACGATGGCCTTCGTCCTCTGAGATTATCCGCTGCACGTGCGAAGAGATACCGCCATTGTGTTCTTGATGCTGTTGTAGCTGTACGTTCCCTGACCGAGTGCTGGCCTTAGGAGTGACAGTTGTGGTGGGGCTCCGGGGTTCCTCGCCGCTGACCGTAGTCGGAGACGCCAACCGACTCGTCGTCCCTAGAACTGAACGCGGAAGCGGGGCTAAGGGAGCGGGAGAGGAGCGATCTGGATTAGCGATGGATCCGGGAGTGCGCACAGTGGCCAATGAAACTGGACTGGATGGTATATGAGGCCGTTCCTCGGGAAGAAGGTGAGCAGTCGCCATATGTGACTTGTCGGCCCCGTCTCTGGCCTCGCTTTTCGACTTTTGCTTCACTGCCTGCCGATCTGCGTACTCTTGCCATGCGCGCACGCTCTCTTTCATGTCCCTGTTCTTTTGCATGACGTTCGCATTCTTCTTCTGGAGATACTTCACTTGTTGAGACATGTCCCGGTACTTCTTGGTCAAGTCGCTAAACCGGGCAGCAAGGTCGTGATACTCTTCTTCGGTAGCCTCGTTTGCAACCCCGTGATCTGGTAATGGTGCAGCGGCCTCTTGTAGAGCCGCGAGTCGTTGCTTCAACTGCTCATTCTCGGTAGCGAGGTGGCGATAATCGTCGGACGCACTTGGCGCATCAAGTTCAGAGACATGCTGGTCGACTGGCCCCCTAGTTTCAAGCTGTTCTTTCAGATGCTCGTTCTCCTTGGCAAGACGCGCTGATTTCAGAATCTCGTCATTCAGATGTTGGAACAGTATTTGTTGGTTCTCCTCCTCTGCAGCAGGTCAGTATGTAACTCAATAGATAAGACAAAACGCGTACTTTGATCTAACTCCTTCTGATGTTTCTCTTCTCCTGATTCGTTTTTAGCAAAGGTCGACGCGTTAACTGACCATACGTACTCGTCTTCCATTCCTTCTCGAGGTCAGGCTTGATGACCTCATCGTAGACGCGCGTCCAGAGCCCTTTGTTCTGCTCTACCCAGGCTGAAAACTCCGCCATATTGGACCAGTCCGACAATGCATGAAAACGACAGGTGTGACAAGAGATGACTTGATGTTCGCGTGTGTCCTGAATTGGTTGCAGCATTAGGCGGCAACTACGAAAGATGCGCGCTAGTGGAGCGCGCAGTCACGCGTGCGCACAGACACTTTGCGATAGCGATAAGACATGGGGCAATTCCGACATCCCGAGGCGCATTCGCCGCCGACACGACGGCCATAGCCAGGTATTATGAAGCGCGCATACGATGGCGATGATGACGGCGAACACCCAGCCAAAGTACAGCGGCTTTTACATCCCGACAAACTCTCTCGGTTGAGCGAGGAGTTGCTTGTGCGCATACTGTCTTTCGTGCCCGTACCCTCGCTATTGGTATGCCAAAGGTAGGTAACGTCATCTTCGCTACATCGCGGCATTTGCTAACTGTTACAGGGTGTCCAAGAAGTTCAGTCGCCTTTCGGTCGATTCGGAATTATGGAAAGCCGCTTACTACCGCACATTCGTCCTCCCTCGAGCGTCGCGCATACCAGGCATCAGAGGCCCTGCCAACCCGAATCGGCTACACTACTCCTCGCGGCTATCGAAATGGCTAGAAGACGGCTACTTAGTCAAAGATGGAACACAAACGAACTGGAAGCAGCAGTATCGGTTACGGCATAACTGGACCCAGGGACAATGCGCCGTCAGTGAGATTGTAGTCGCTGAAAGGCCTCCAGACCCACCGCTGCTCGTCATGATGTCTAACAGCATCATCTATGCTGCCGACTCCATGTCGGGCCTGCGAGCGTGGAACTCGAAGAATGATAGGGAGCTACTGGCATCCACGGAACTATCTGGTGAAATAGATATGGCTCGTTTACCGATATCCATGGCCATAGATGCCTCGAATACAGACAATGGAACGGAGCGAGTTGTCATCGGCTTTGAAGACGGCTCTTTCTCCATTTACGCGCTTAGGACGGGTCGCTGGAAGTTTACGAATGTCTTCACCCATCCGCCATCAACAAACGGAATGCTGTCGGCTCTCGCATACTCATCGCCCTATCTCCTCACGATGACCGAAGACCACCTCCTCTCATTTTACGCTTTTGAAGAGGTACCTGGCACGTTCGGGCTGTTGGAGGCACCGAAGCTGCTGTACTCCCTACGATCGAACACTGCATGGCCACCTGTCTCGCTATCGCTGCGCACAACAGCACATACTATGACCGCCGCGATCGCATACTCCCTGCCGACCTACTTATCCGGCTGGACTGTTGGTGTGCAGGAACTCATACTCTCACACGAAGGCGATCTCATCGAATCACGGTTGGCTACTGCGGCGGATGAACACTCATTTACGCTCTCTACGTACCGCGCGGCCTCTTCATCAGCACGCTCGTCGTCACCTTTACCAGATCGCGCCGATGAAGCCCTAGCACCGAGCGGGCCGAGCAGATCGAAACCTACCTCCATGTCGTACTCCCATCCGTATCTTCTCGTCGCGCATCCCGATAACACACTATCGCTCTACCTCGTCCGATCGACATCAGAAGCACTATCGATCAGCTCCGGCAACCGCCTCTGGGGTCACACGTCTTCGATATCCGGTGCTCATGTCGGCATGCGCGGCAAGGCTGTGTCCGTGAGCAGACGAGGGGACGAGCTCCGGGTATGGGATCTAGAGGGCGGCATGAACTCCTCCGCGAACCGCAAGCGCTCAAGAAACGGACAATTAAGCGTTCGCGTACAGCCATCCAAAGCCAGTGAAGAGTACACCCGGGACGACGACTCGGGGCAGCAAGTGGGCTTACGGTTTGCGCTAGACCAGGGCTTTGACGATTCTTCTGTCAGCCGTGGTTGGGTCGGCTTCGACGAACAGAACGTCATAGTGCTGAGAGAGAAGAGCGAGGGCAGTCAGGCGTTAGTTGTCTATGATTTTACGTGACCTGTCAAAGACTCCGAGACCTCAGCATCTGTTAACCAATATACCCCCATAGAACGTTTCCCGCGGCTGCGAACATCAGCTCGACCCTCTCGAGACCACGGTGACTGAGCTGCCATGCGCGCAGGAACTTCTCTCTCCTTCTCATATTAGTCTGCCTCTCAAAATGTAGAGGACATGTCTTTGACCGCACCTTCTCACGATCGCACAATCCCAGTAGCTGGCGTTGGAGAGCTAACACTATCATATTGCCACTAACTAAGAAAACAACATCAGTCAATACAAGATACAAAACCACCGGCGAGTCCCGAAGTTATGGCCCGATCATGACACCAAACTTTCATATCAATACCGACCAAGCGAAGGCGGAACAGGGGTGTCAGCTCCAGCCCTCGGCAGCTCGGGAGATTGGACTGGAACGTCTAGAAGGACTCCTATGCCTCCGCCATCCCACAAACCCCCCTGCATCATCTCGATGCCAAGAGCTTTCGCGCTGGTTCCATGATAGAAAGTGGTTTCCTCGGTGTCGGACATGAGGAGTGGTCGTTGATGATGAACTCGCGCACGAAGATCAGTACGCTCCTCCTCCTTGCGCATCCGCTCCGCCCTCTCCCAACTACATCTCCCCAAGAACTGGTCATGATCCTCCAGTCTCCATATCTTCCTTTGCACCTCCTCCGTAACCCTTGCCTTCAAGGTCTCGTACTCGTCTTGCTCCAGCATCCACCGTATCTCCTCAGCGAGAGGATGCGACTTATCCTGCACTTCTGTTAATACAAACCAGACTATCACATCCCCGAAAACGGTGTCGCGAAGACTACCGTAATACCCATCCCAGATCAGCTCGACATGCTCGTCGGTCATATACCAAGCTTCGTTGCCTATCCACTCATCGATCATCACATCTTCGAGCCGGTCGGCATCTGCGTGCAGCCCGAACACACGGCATGCGCGGATGGTCTCGATACCGTCGGCCAGACTGGGTGGTACGCGCAGCTCACCTGTGGGCCGTACGCTGGCTGCTTTGCACGCGCGACGCATGTATCGCATTACTCTTGCGACTCCAGATTTCTCGGCTTCTTCCACGGGTATCTTCAACAGGTCTGGGCGCCCGTCCCGGTCTGCTATGAAGCGATCGAGGACCGAGGCGCCGCAGAAATGCCATAGCATGCGAAGCGGAACGTTGCGGACGTATGTTTTCTTGGTGTCGGCATTCACGATGTCGACTGTGAACCCGGACTTCAATGCGATGAGTGTTCGATTGTCTGTATGCTGCATCGTGTCAAAGAGTCTTCCAGTGTGACCTTCGAGCGGCGCCAGTCTCTTCCAGGTCTTTCTGAGTTTTCGTCGGATTACTGGAGATGGTTTCTCGGTTCCTGGAAGAGTGGTCTCGTCCATGTTTGCACCGCTCATCTCTGTGGATACTGGCTTGATCTCGTCGTATTCTGGGCTGCCATGTAGTCATACCTCGTGAGCGCTCCCAGAAGCATCAGATCGATCTGTTGGCTGCTGTGATGTCGTTTCGGCGTCGTCACGTCCCGCTGTGTTGTCGAGCGTGGGTTCTGTGCTGGTAGGATCGTTGCTAGCCACGTGCATGTCTAATGCCATATTACAAACGGTTGCGACTTCTCGTAACATCTGTTCGAGCGCTCTATTGAGCGCCGCCGGAATACGATTCCGTTCTTCGGTATGATCTTTTTGGGCTACGTCGGTGCGCGATGAAGCGATCAGTGGGTTAGCTTCGTCTTCCAGGCCAGGCACATCGCCTGCAGGTGAACGATTGGTCGTCTCTTTGTCTCCGTCGCAAAGTTCCTCGCCACTGCCACCGCGCAATTTCATCTCGGACTCCTCTTCGATATCCGGTTCTTCTTCTGAGTTCGGCACGACGTCGCGCTCATTATTTTGCTTTCCTGATGGATGCGCAACCTCGCCGAGCGAGCGCCGGCTCGTCTGCACGTGACCTTCGATTTGCGGAGCATTTTCACACCTGACGCCCTTCGCCATACCGGGAGCAGCGCAGCTTGCACCTCCGGTATCAGTTTCAATAGTCCTGTCTGAGAGCCGGAAGTAATCGGTCGCGTCTACTTCGACGGCGGCAACAGAACATAGTGGTAGGAAACCATGCGGTTCGTATGGCGCAGGGTTAGGAGAAAGGATAGGGTTATGCTTTTGCTTTGGCACTGAGAAGTAATCGTTAACCTGTACAGGCTTTCCATTACCCCTGTTCTCTTGCATGTCCTCGGGTGTGGAGGTATGCATGGCTATAAACCCGTGCGAAGTCTTCGGTGTGTAAGCTTGCCATTCCGAGGGATCAACGGCGGTAGTCTCGCGTTGGAACATAGGGCGAGGGATCTCTAATCGAGGATTATCAAGGCGTACTTTGTTGAGTGCATCTGGAGTTCTTGGTGAGTCTGACATGATTGTGACGTGAGATGTAGTTGTAGCAATGGAGACATCTTGCGGCAAGGGATTCAGAGTCCTATTTATCGACCACTATCGGGGTATGAATGAGTGGGTAAATATAGTGTACATGTCACTGTCTGCCAGCAGTTCAGTAATTGTGTGTATGTTGACTTGGGAATAGGTGCTGTGACGCATCTGCCACGACATGCGGATAGCGGATTTGGGTGTATACACTCTCGGTGTGTCTCTGGCTATGAGACATTCACCACTCATCGTTCACGAGCCGTCTCCATCTTAGGTCGCCACATTCTTCATGCACGCCCTTCACTCCTGGAAGTTCGAGTTTTAACTTCCATTGAGTCTCATTCACTACTTGCAACTGCGCAGCATAGCCCTACAACGCCATAGCGCGGCTTCCTCTAGCTTTCTTGCAGACGCATGAACCCCGTTTCACCAGCATCCAGCCATCTCAACCATGGGTGAAGCAGACCAGTCACCGCCAAAAGAGCAGCGAGTCATAAAACCCGAAGCACAGTCAAGAATGGGCGCGCTTTCTCCACAATCACCATTCATGGATCGCACAAAACACTTGGTTGACCTGATGACGGACAGAGAAGTTATCACGCCGTATTCTGATGCCGTCGAGGCTAAAGACAACGACCGCACACCATTGAACGACATGGAAAAGTTTGAGACTAGTGGAGCTGCAGGTGCAGATATCGATGAAGGTGTATGGCACGAACGCGCACCCTGGGCTGCACCAACGCTACCCAGCCCGAATGCCCTCGCAGGCCTTGCCGGCCCACCTGACTTTCATCTGGACTCAACACCATCTCGGGAAGCGGCGAACAGCCCTTCCTCGCGAACGCATGCGGAATCAGTCCCGGTACCTCCGAGTCGTCTCTCTTCCCTCTTGAACAAGGCTGTAACGTACTTCAGCAGCTGCATCGGCAACTACTTCACATCCGCGCCCGGCGTCATCGAGTACTCCGGCGCAGACATCCTACGGAATACTCAAATCGGTATTGAGGCGGAGGAGCTCATATTTCCGAATAAAGCCGCAGTGATCAGAATTGTAGCTATCGTCACCGATAGCTCTGGTGCAGGCAGAGAGAAAGATGAGAAATACGAGGCAGTAGAGAGGCGTGTGGAACTACGGGCAAAGCCTAAGCGAGTGAAGGAGATTTTGAGAGGGGAAAGGTATTACATTGCGGAAGATTTCTATAGGAAGGAAATTCGGCTCGCGTTTAGAGCTTTAGGGAAGTTGTGAGTGGCTCGTTGCGTATGGGTGGGTCGCGTGGGAACCAAAGAATGAGAGACAGGAATTTCATAAATATCGTCCTTCTCGCCGTTTTACCCTCACACATCGGAATTCTTCCCATAACTACAAAGACTTCACCAAATCTCAACCGGACACGTTTAGCACCTCCAAGAGCATACATAGGCCGCACATATCATCACATACACTACTACAAACCCTACGTAGCAGCCAGGTGTATTCGAACACCTCACCACACACGCCGCGCAAACCTTCTGTACTCCTCAAACCCCAAGATGGCGTCAGAAACAAGCTACGAATCAACCTCCGATAGTCAGCAAACCACCTCAACCCAACCCCTCGAACAAGCGAACAGCCTCCGCACGCTCGTCGCATACAAAGCAATGGCCACGAGCCCCCGAATCGAAAAATGGCTATCGCAAGTTTCCGAACAGACATGCCTCCCTCTAGGCGAATTCCCACACCGAAGACCCAATTCAAATTTCAATAAGATTCGGTCAATCCAGCAATTTGGGCCTGTTAATGGGAGGTACCTTCTTGAGTTTAAGGAGGAAGGGGGGTATTACGTTGAGACGGAATCAGTTGGTATGCCGAGGGTTCAGTCACATCCAGACCCGTCGGCGGTTAGTGAGCAGTGGGAGGAGAGTCGGGGGGATGGGGGCGATGCTGGTTGGTAGCGCGCTCGAGGTGTGAACGATAATGCGCTGGGGTATGACTTTATAGTAACACGTTAACCTAATAAAAAACTAAATACCCCAGAGCCTACGTTAACCTTAGGTTACCTACTTTGTAGGCTTTTGTCTTGATGTAGTCCGCAGACCTGTTTAGTTTTCTTCCTGTATGAGGTGCTAATAGTCGCGTAGGTTTGCGGATGCACTTAGACAATGTCCTGATTTCCTTCTCTCGTTCGTCTTCCGTTCGTCGCAGCGCGCAGTTTGCCAGAGGGCCGTTTGAGGCTGTCAGAGAACCAACGGTGATGCTTCGTCGACATGTCTACTTCAATAACCGCAATCGGAAGATGCTAATGGATCAGAGCTCTTTTTCGACTCTCTCGGTGAGTTCTCAAATTCCACGCATACACCGCTCGCCCCATGATTCGAAGCGACATGACTACCCACGGCTACGTCGCGCACTATTATATCAACGACCTCGACAAGCTCAATGTCGAAGAACAGTATCGCCTGCTATACGACTTGCCAGACGGCCGTTATGTTGCGCCACAAGATAAGCGACGCATGTTCTACAAAGGCGAAACCGCATCGCAAGCTCTGGAGCACGTGCGCCGGTTTCTGCCTTCGCCATTCAGCCCCAATTCGTTGTCGCCTAGTTTGTACGATGCACCGAGCTTGATCGATGAGGAGCGGTGGCACAAGGCTCGAGCGAAGTTGAGGAGAGAGGGTGCGTCAAACAAATCCTGAGGGAAGAAAGTTGAGAACCTGACGAAGATCTAGGCGCCATTCTGCCTTGCGATTATATGTTCGTTGATGAACGCAGGATGGTGGAGTCGTTCGACAGCAACGAGACGATCCGGCCAGCTGGTGTCGTCGCACGGCGTTGGGATCCGGCTGAGTCGAGAGCGGCGGATTCGCCTCTATTGGTAGCAGACCAGGATCGAATTGCTGTTCAGAGCGATGGGGTCATTTTGTGGCAGTTGCTCATTGACTTTGGCAAGGCTGTGCGGAAGATCTTGGCTAAGTTATTGACGTCCCAATGCGCGTGTTAAAAGGATGTTGGTGATCCTGTAATCTTGTCTCTTGATCCATTGGATTGGTCGGAACTCTAGTGACGTCAGGCCACCATTGTCTTAGCTAGTGCGAGGCTGTACGCTTATTGTTCTATCATATTGCGGCGTGGGTGGCGCACTACCCGTGAACGCATGTAGTGCCCTGCATGTGCGGCTCACCGACATGCCAGCCCAGACCCAAGCTTCTTATAAGAACGCGGTCTTTCCTTCGGCGACAGACACGCAGGTACATGGGTATAGAGGCATCGTCTGTGATGTATGTTGCGTGGCATCGTCGCTGCTTCCTGCGCTGAACCAGACCCCGCTTTCTCTTGGCATTCTGGGGCACCACACCACGCCAATATCCATGGCTTCCAACATAACCCCGACCAGCAAAAGTGACATCGCGACCTCCCAGCTTGGTACCGCTTCACTCGTTGTCACAAATCGCCAGTCTGGAAACAATGCCCGGCCCAATACCCATCGCGCCACAACGAGAGCGGCCCGTCGCCGTGGAAAGCTCGATGGACCTTTTCAACTTCGCTTTCTCACCGCGACAGACCCTACCCAATTCAAAGACGAAGAAACAAGACGAAGCGTCCGTTCGCAGGCGATGAGATACCATAGGAACAAAATAAGCAACAACGATGCAGCACCTCGGGAACAGCCCGAAACAGTACCACCTCTTTACACTGAACCAGTAGTCGCCGGGCAGGTCGAGCTCACAACGACTCAAGCTCAACTACTTCCCCCAGAAAGGACACCGAGAGCCCTTGTTCCCTATGAATATGATCGGCAAACGCATTTTCATGTACCGACGACGAGGTCCCCAAAGGAAGCGAGCGGTGCTGAGGCTCATGATGCTGCGTTTGAATGCCGTCGGTCGACTCGCTCAGGCCGAAGGCAGAGTAGAAGCTTCCAAAAGGTTGTGGAATACGAGTACACCGAGAGCCAAGAAGAACGCAAGATTCGTCTATTCGCGACCACTTTCTCTCAGATCGGAGACGGGTTTGACCCTTTCAAGGTGTTGCCCCAATACGAGAACCCTAGTTTGAACAGCGGTCTCATCTTGCGTGCATGTAGGTGTACATAACTCTCCAGACTTTTCACGTCATATGCTCTCGTTCAACGGCTTACATAAACAGTCATGCGCGCGTTCGGGACAGAAGCATTAATCAAGGCATGGGCACCCGAAATGATGGTTCATCCCCATGTATTGCTCAGTGGTATCGGGTCCGTGACATGTACTTGGCTCGATATGCTCGCAAAAATTCCAGGCGAAAGTACAAGGACTAGGCTTGTCAGGCACGAGACCCTGGTCATGCTCAGGCTTCGGCTTCAGTCGTTCACCCGGGAGCACGCCGTGTCAACCCTTCTGGTGATGATACACTTGCTGGGAAGCGACATGTGGAGCTGTGATGAGCCCACGGTGCGGTGTCACGAACGAGGCATCGAACAAATGATACACGTGTGCGGCGACCTGGACAAGACCGGAAGGGCGATAATCGCGCAATTTGCTACTGCGTAAGCTTCATGACCTCCTGATGAAGAGGGAAAGACTAATAATATTTTCAGGTGTTGTCTCCACTGCGACCTACTTTACGAAGCCCGACCCCTGCCAACCTTTGCGTTGTGGGAGCCTGCAAAGTACGAGTCGGTCAACCATGAAGAAGATGGCGCAATACCAGAATCGCCATTGTTCTGCCCAGGGCCTGACTTCCGAAATCTTGTCAACGAAGAGCGTTGCTCATCCACCACATTTGACCTACTTCGAGATATGCGCGACTTGACCGAACTATTCCTGGCGCAAAGCACAGCACTTGAGCCCACTGGCGATGCTACAGACGTTCATGTAGCCCGTCCGCCCGCCAATGAAGCGTATTATAAGACAAGAATGGCTGGAATTCGCGATCGCTTAGCAAATTTACCTTCGGCTTACACTCCAGACCACCCAAACTCCTGCGATTGGGTCTATGAGGCGTGTCGTCTCACTGCCACGATCTACACGACTTCTATCGTACGACGCTTGCCTTTTTCTGTTGCTGCAACATCAAGTCGCTACCCATTCTGTGCCCAAACCGGGGCTCTAAACGAGCCACTTAGTAGCCAGATGTCGCTTACAACCCATATCTGCGAAGAGTTGATGCAGACTCTAGAACGTACCGACCTCGCAAACGTGTGGAATGGCATGGTTGGAGTGCTATATTGGATATGTACCGTTGGCGCTGCTGCAGCCCGTTCGCCCCGCTTGTCCGACCTGTCACAGCGACTTACGTATAACACGACGTGTAAGTTCCGGGTTCGACAGTGTCTGACCATGTTTTCCGTCCGCGCACAGATCATCTTGGTCTTCAAACATCCCATACCCATCTTGCTATCCCAGAAGAAACTTCTCAGGGTACAAGAGCTTATTGGAACATATCGCTAAGGTCGCAACACCAAGCAGTCACTTGGAACCTCTCTGGATTCCACAGGTCTCAACTGCGACGACATCTGCACCTACCGAGGGCCGAATGCAAGCCGAGCAATGCGTCCATCTCTTGTGATGACCATTCAAAGCAAAGCGACCCAAGATAAAGTCAGAAGCCGGCTGCTGACAACAGATGGTTGCGCTCCCGTAAACACCGAAAGCCGTCTGAATCAGGAGAGAAGCGCGCGTGTCCACGTCGCCAAACCTGGTGGGACTTTTGACCGTTCATTTGGACACTACATATGTTGGCTTTGAACGGACCATCCAGGACGTTCGTGTTGCGTGATGCACGGGTGGCCGAATACTCTGGCTTTCCTCCTCCGCGCGCATCACGAGAGGCCGAGCTGAAGTTCCCGGGCGCCTCGGGTCGCGACCATCCGCAAGATCCGGTCGCGATGTGTTCTGCAGTTCGAGAACAGACGATCGCAGTTGCGGACAAAAAATCTGTTCCTTGCACTGAATTTTATTGGTGGTGCTCGGAGATCTTCGCTGCCTACCGATGTGGGCCGACGGAGCATTTCGCACCATGGATCTGAGGGGTCGCAACTCACCTGCTAAGCTTCGCGGCTCCCATCTTATCCTGACCTCTTATGACGTCGCAACTATGCCTGTCTCCTATTCCATCAGGCACGGTTGTTTACATCGCATTGAAACCTGGGTAACGGTAATTCGCTTTGGCGAATTCGGCGCTTCTCCAACCCAAACCTCGTGGGGATGCCATCATAGAGGGCCCGTGCGTCGAGCCTCTTTTCGTCCCTTCCTTGTCCGACGCTCCGCTGGCCACGATGATCCTGTAGGGCAGAAACAGTTGCAACCGTGGAGCCAAACTCTGATTTGACGTGTGGGGTCGCGTGGATATCAGGATCTGCGTCGTTGGAAATCATGTTCTGATCTCACAGGTCTGGCTACCGGACTGTTTGAGACAGTAGCCAGAAGCGCACGTTGTTTTGGATATGCAAACATCCAGACGTGGCTATTGCAGGCATTCCTGAAGCTTACACTACCCGCGAGACACGTGCTCGCTCTTTGACTTGACGGTCAGCGTGCTGTCTTTGCAGGAAAAGGACTGCTTCGATGACTATCTGACAAATGAAGCGAACCACGGGACACAACAATTCGCGCTGACGAATGATGGATGACTCCTGGCCGCCTGGCACCATCTTTGCGAAGGAAGCGGCTGCCAGCATGTCCGAGACAGCGACCCAGGGATTAGTGGCCGCTTCCCTGCATTCCGATTGGGCGACAAGGTTACCTCCTGTCAGACCTGCCAGGGTCTAACGGCCTACTAACAACAAGCGACAATTTGTATAAAAGACAACACCCGCCAAATCTAGAATGCACACGAAAGAGATAGTCGCAGCGAGCGTTGTACTTGGACTCTGTTTTGTCGCTGCCATGGCACTCGTTACACGCTTCCTCCTGCACAAGCAGCCCAAGACTACAACAACAGACGACATGTTCACTACGGACGGCAAGACTGAACGACAGGTTCAGCTCACGCAAATCTCCAGCTCGTGGAAGAGATTCTTGACCCCAAAGCAAAGTCTTAGCAAAGGACACTGGGTGCCAACATTGTCGGGCATCATCAAGGCTGGCGATGAGGGGTTATTTTCCTCCGCATTGTTTACCAACCTCCAAGGACATCCCGGACAAGTACCACTCGAAACCTTGTACGATGCGTTCGCGAACGAACTTCGAAACAGATCAATCTCAGAGCGATCGTCATACCCCGGAGACATGACGAAGTTCCTTGCTCGAGCAAAGAAACCTGCGAGCGGCGTGGGGCGGTCAAAGTCGATGTCCAATGTTCGGCAAGCGGACCCTAGCCCAAAGACTGCGAGGAAGAGCTTAGATTTATCGGTGGTTGAGATGGGTTTGGCTAGGGGCTTATCCGTGAAGAGGCCGGCGGCTATCTTGGTATCGATGCACAATGGACTGCGAGACGATGATCAGAAGTCTATACAGCGGGCTTGGGTGAAAGATGGTCAGACTGCAAAGTATGAAGATGGAAGGTTGAGCATCAAGGTCTCAGCTGCCGAACTCGCGGCACTCTCAGTAATACTGGGAAGCCAGTTGATCAACGGCGCTGACCAACAAGACGCGTCATCGGAGAATGGTGCCTTCGGCATCTCGATGGCTCTTTTGCCAACGACAGACGCCAAACACCAGGTCACGCTCACACAACAAAAGCGCGGCAGATCGCAACGGCACGCCCAAGGCTCAGG